TTAGCTTTCATATGGAGATCTAGGATGTATTCTGAGTTTATTTTTATGTATGGTATGAGAGGACAGGTTCACTGTTTTCCATAGAACTATCCTGTTACTCTGGTACCATTTGTTAAAGACTCTTTTCCTTGTTAAATTTTCTTTCTTTCTTTTTTTTTTTTTTTTAAGATTTTATTTATTTATTTGACAGAGAGAAAGAGAGCACAAGCAGGGGGAGAGGCAGAGGGAGAGGAGAAGCAGGCTCCCTGCAGAGCAGGGGAAGCCCGATATGGGACTCGATCCCAGGACTCAGGGATCATGACCTGGGTTGAAGGCAATGGGTTAACCAACTGAGCCACCCAGTTGCCCCCCTCGTTAAATTTTCTTTTTACAAAGTCATCTACATGTCTATCCTTGTTCTGTTACCAGACCATCTGATTATAACACATCTTGAAATCAAGAGATAGTGTAGTGTGTGTGTGTGTTATCTGATAAGTGTCCTCTTTAATCCCCATCCCCTATTTCTCCCATCCTCCCACTCACCTCCCCTCTGGTAGCCATCAGTTTGTTCTCCATAGATAAAGAGTCTGTTTCTTGTTTTTCTCTCTTCCCTTTTTTGTAGTTGCTCATTTGTCTTCTTTCTTCAGTTAACCCAAGTGTCCTCTTCAGGAGGTACAGAGACCTATAAAGGGGGCCAGAATCACGGCCTCAGAATTGGGAAGAGTTTTTTTTATGTCATGCAACCCAAATTCCCAGCCCTTGTTCCATTGTTCTCTTCATCCCTGCCCCTGGCAGATTTTGCTAATGGACATTTCTTCTAAATCTTTCCTCTTGGGCCCAAAATGGCTTCAGAACCTTTTTTGACATGGCACTTGACAGCCACTATCAGTCCATTGGAAGTCATGACAAAGATGAAAATCCATTTGCTAATTCTGGTCAAATTAACCTAAGGCAGAGAGAATCCCTTCCCCAACATTCCCCACCAGTGCACCTGGCTGGACCTCAGCCTGAGTGCACAGTGTTTTTGGATATTCCAACCCACTTTTTCCAGTAAATTTAATTCTCAGGAAGTCCTGTCTTATTTTGAATTAAAGCTTGTAACTTTCAGCCACTGGTTCTATTTCATTGGAACATTTGAAAATAGAGCAGTCTGATATTAAAGAGAGTAATGCTGATTAGTGATCAAATTACTTAATGGATAATTTAAAAAATAATGCTTCCTTAACAACTGCTATGTGCCAGGTGCCCTTCTGCGTACTTTCCATGAATTGGCTCCTATGTGACAGTTCTATGAGGAAACTACTTCTTTTATCTCTGTGACGGTCACTTAGATATCTAAGTCGCTCTCCCACTCCAGACTGCCCTGCCTTTCCTAAGAGAAACATTTCAAGTCCCTCCAAGTTTGAAATGTTCTTTTCTGGTAGATTTATCTTTCCAAAGAGACTTTCTAGAAGCCCGCATGGTCTGAACAACATGGAGTACTGTGGGACATCTCCAGTTCCATTCCAAGCTCTATAAGCCTCTGCCAATTACCCTGGGCTCTTTGGGTACCTTTGTTGCATCATTGACACCCACTGACCTGTTACATGGCCACCAACCGTTCCATAGATTTGGGTTTTTTTTTTTAAATAAACATCTTTATATTCTGTTTATCAGTCAATGTTTTGTGTTTTTTTTTGTTTTTTGTTTTTTAAGATTTTATTTATTTGAGAGTGATCATGAGCAGGGCAGGGAGGAGCAGAGGCAGAGGGAGAAACAGACTCCCCACTGAGTAGGGAGCTCGACACACACCGGGCTGGATCCCAGGACACCGGGATCATTACCTGAGCCGAAGGCAGACGCTTTACCACCGACGAAGCCATGCAGGCTCCCCTATCAGTCAGTGTTTTTAAAAATACTGTCCTTTTGAACTTTCTCTAGTTGGTTTTGATCCATCCTTTCAGCCACCAGGGTTGTCTGGTGCTCTGGTCCTGGTATCCAACTCCTTCGTGCACCCTGCCAGTCTCCTGTCCCCCTTGTGAAACTGTCGGACAGATGAAAGCACAGAGCTAACGCTCTCTTTCAGTCCGACACTGACCCGTGAATAGCCCCATTTGCTTCTCTCTGGGAAGCAGGTAAATGGTTTTGAAAAAATATTCCGCTGAGCACCAACCTGCCACTCTTGTTTTTTATTATAGTAAATAAGCAGCCTGTTTCTTGGAAAGCTAACGGACAGTTGATGCATTTGTTCTAGAGAAATATTTTGGGCCCGGCTGTCCCCAAACCGATTCTTGTCCCCAGCTCCTGTTTCTCTGCTTCCTGCCTAGTAATTAATGTTGTTCTAAAATAGTGGGAAGAAACTAAAGAGGGTAATTTGCAGAAATCACTTGCACTGTAGGGGACTGATAGCTCCCTTTAAGAGGTAATTTTAGCTGTTTTCTCTGCTCCCCTCCCCCCCCCAATATTTTAGGGGTTTCTATGGTTTGAGTCAGAAATTCCAGGTTGGTATATAGGCCAGGTGATCTCTAGTTGATGGCAGTATCTCTTGCTTTATGGAGGACTGATGAGGGGAGGCTGGTGGAGGAGGTCTGCACAGGGAAGACAGTGGGGTAGGGAGGGAGAGGGGAGTCTGAACCGGATGGAGGGAAGGGAAGAGAGAGAGACTGCTAAAATTCCTTGAGCATCTATGGTACACTGGGCACAGTGCTCAGTACATCGCCCAGTCGTGGGGGGGGGGGGCGGTCATTATACCCACTTTCAGATGAAGACACCAAGGCTTCTAGAGCCAATATGAGCTGCCCTATGGTCCTATGACTGGTACATGTTAGAGTCCTCATTCATACTAGCGTCTGTAGCATTCCAAAGCCTACGTTCGTCCCACCACACTGTGATGCCTCAAGGAATCTGCTTCCCCTCAAGAAGAAGGGCCATTGAGGAGTAGAGATGGAAAGAGAAACAAAACATAGGTTGAGGGAAGCGAATGAGATGAAGAGGGTCAGCAAGTTTTGAGGTTGTTGGTGGCCCTTGGCCTTCTAGGGCTGAGGACACGAAGATTTGCTGTGGCCTGTCGGAAAATGCCCATGGCCGTGTTTACTCTCCTCTGGAGCTCTGTCCTAGAGTCTGCAGAGATTCTAGGCTATCACGGGAGGGGGTAATAGGGCCGCCTACATGGCAGTTGGATTGTCACCCTGGGGTCAGATGACATCAGGTGGTGTCTCTTCAGGGTAGCTGCTCTCTCCTGCTTTTTTAGAAACAGAAGCATTTTAGGAAAGAGAGCCATAAAACCAGCATCTTTATAGCCTGCCTTATTTTCTGGTTGACTTCCATTATAAAAATCGGAGAGATTTTCAGCACAGAACTATTTCCAAAACACTAAAGTGATCCCCCCCCCCCCCCCGCCTCCACTGGCCCCCTGGGTTTTTACTGATTCTTGTGCTGAATCTGGGCTCTTCCTCTTCCTTCCTCCCCATACTGCAGAAGCGTCTCCTATGATTGTGGCTATTTGTGTCCTGGTTGGGGGTCCCTCACCCTGAGGAGGTACTCCTTAAAGTGAGAGGTGACATGATTCCCCTTTGCGCATCCACACTACCTGAACAAAGCGATCTCTCACAATAGCATCTGAGACCTTACAAAGCAAAGCTAAGGCAGATTGGAGCTTAGCTGTCATGGCAGTAATTCACAGCATCTTCGATGTCAACTCAGATGGGCCAAGTGTCCTTAACTGTAACGGAATGGAAAGGCGGACATGGCGGCCTGGTCTTCCTCTTACAGTGGGGATCCTGTGACTTGCTGGCCATCCAAGATTTCTGGGCATATTCTTTTTAATTATGCCACGCGTCTGTCGGGGACAGAAGACAGTCGGTAATTCTGGAACGAGAGGATTTCAGAAGCCGAAATTTGGCGCCACGCCTGCGATTAGTTTGGTGACAAGAACAGTGGGGGCACGAGTTGTATTGTCCGTGGTATCGAGACTCTGGCCTTTCCCCCCACTAGCAAGCCAAATTACAGCAGCAGATGGACATGCAGAAGAACCACATCTTCCGTCTGACTCAAGGGCTGCAAGAAGCTCTGGACCGGGCGGATCTGCTGAAGACGGAAAGGAGCGATCTGGAATACCAGCTAGAAAACATTCAGGTGAGAACCGGCAGAGGGAATTTACTTAGAAATTGCCTGCGGATGCAGAGCGTCATGGCTGAAAGCCATCTGGTGAAATGATGAGAGTGATCTCTTTATACTGTGTGTTTCCCCCATATTTCATTATGAAAATTTCCAAACCTTCAGAGAAGTTAGAACATACCTGTAATGATCAGCTCTGAGATTCTAATATTTACCCCTGACTTTTTTTTTCCCCCCGTATGCGTATCCATCGATCAGTCCTTTTTTTAGTTTTGTTTTTGGCCATAAGAAAAGGAGTGAGTAAGTAAATATTGGCCCAGTGCGGTCTGTGTTGAATTTTCATAAGCTAGTACCCTCATGACTTAGTTTTTTTATTTTCTTAAAGTACCAAATTTATTTATTTTTAATTTTTTAATTTTTTAAGTTTTAGTTTATTTATTTGACAGAGAGAGAGATCACAAGTAGGCAGAGGGGCAGGCAGAGAGTGGAGTGGGGGGCGGGAAGCAGGCTCCCCACTGAGCAGAGAGCCCGAAGTGGGGCTTGATCCCAGGACCCCGAGATCATGACCTGAGCTAAAGGCAGAGGCTTAACCCACTGAGCCACCCAGGTGCCCCTAAAGTACCAAATTTATTTATTTATTTATTTATTTTTTAAAGATTTATTTATTTATTTATTTGTCAGAGAGAGAGAGAGGGAGAGAGAGCGAGCACAGGCAGACAGAATGGCAGGCAGAGGCAGAGGGAGAAGCAGGTTCCCTGACGAGCAAGGAGCCCGATGTGGGACTCGATCCCAGGACGCCGGGATCATGACCCGAGCCGAAGGCAGCCGCTCAACCAACTGAGCCACCCAGGCGTCCCTAAAGTACCAAATTTAAAAGCATCTTTCTTTCGAGGGCTGAGCTTATTTTTGTTTTTATGAATTTTTAGGTTCTCTATTCTCACGAAAAGGTGAAAATGGAAGGTACTATTTCTCAACAAACCAAACTCATTGACTTTCTGCAAGCCAAAATGGACCAGCCCGCTAAGAAGAAAAAGGTGGGTCCTCGTGTTTGAAAAGTGGAGAGTTTTTGCTCGGCCATTGTGATTCATTAAATACCGCTGTGATAGATAATTAGAGAAACATCAAAGAAAACAAAACGCACATTTTCTTGTTTTATACTGGGTTGAAAAGAGGTTTTGAGATAGAAGAGTCCTTACAGAAGGGATGTCATTAATTAAGTCTGTAACGCACTGCTTTGTGTTCATGGCCTTTAAAATTATAGTGCCTGTATCTGATTTCCTAAGCAGCTGGGATGTGGGGGGTGGGGGGTGGGGGGTGGGCAGCACAGATAAAGGTTTATATGGAGGTCATTGTACAAGATTCCAGAAGGATTAGTAGCTCACAGGTACAGGACTATAGAGATTACAGGACATGGATTCGGGATTTGACAGAGAGAGAGGGGTCCTCAGTTCTGTTGAAGGATTCTTAGGGCACAGGTACAGGGCTCTAGAAAAGACTCGAAATTACCCAGCCCAGTCCTTTTGATTGACGAAGGCTTGTGTGACACCAGGAGCCAGGGAGTTGAAGTGACTTACCTACAGTGCCTGACTGGATAGCTAGGCCCTCCACTGAGGGCCGCTCCATCCCTTTAAAATTGTGATAAACAAACAAATGAAAAACTGTGACCAAAAAGAAAATTTTAAAAAATCCAGCTGTGGACAGGGTTCTATGTAGATGCACCTGGGAAGATTTTTACTACACCCAAAACATCTTTCCCTAAACCACCAGGCCTTCCTGCCCCCAACCCCAGGAGGTTTGGCTACATGTTCTCAGCTGGAAAAGGTCTCTAAGGAGTTGGAGTTTGCTTCCAAAGGCATTCCTGCCCCAGAGGAGCAGTGGCAGCCCCCCTCTGACTTGAATTATGTGAAAAGGGGCTGGGGTAGGCAGTTGGGGCCCGAGATGCCAGCGCTGTTTGCACTATTAGGGGCAAGGGCAGCCTTCAGAAGCAGCGTCCTCCTCTGGGGGCTGCTGGGAAGGGATGTTCTTTGCCGTGTGACTGTTTCTGCTTGTTATGGTGACGATATTTAATCTTCTTTTATGATATTGAATCTTTTTTTATTTTAACAGCCGATTGTTATCTGACTGTGTCATGTGCTGTAGTTAGGGTGTTTCCATTGATTTCTGTTTTTTTTTCAGTCCCATTATTCCCTGTGTTTTCCTTTTTTTCCTCCGTGTCCAGTATGTGTTTTCCATTTGCATTTTTTTTTTTTTTAATTTTTGAGTAGGCCCCTTGTTTTGATATCACTTTACTAGTCAGGTTTTTGGTCTCCTTTTTTAAAAAAGTTTTTTTTTTTTTTTAAACCCTCATCTCTGTGTCTTGTAACTAAGCGTCATGAGACAAACGTGGAGCAAGAGTGATTTCCGAACCATCCCTCCTGACTCCATCCTCCACTTCCATTTTTTGAGGGTAAAGACTCAGGAAATGGCTCTCCTTCTTGGGAATGCTAAAGGAAGAGGTGGTGGCAGTTCAAGCATCTTGAACCCTCTTGTTGAAAATTTGCAAAACCCTATTTTTTTCCAGCCGGCTGGAATGGGCTGTGGCTCAGTCTCCCTTTTCCCCCCTTCACATGCCATTTTTACTAAACCCGCTTACAGTGAGTATGCTCCTGGCTTTCGTGGTTTGCTCCTCTTGAGTCAGAGTTCCTTTAGCTAGTTTCAAGTGCCAGTTTCCAGGAGTTAGGAGATATCTCTGTTTCCATTGCTAGGGTTTATTTAGTCGACGGAAAGAGGACCCTGCTTTGCCCACACAGGTTCCTCTGCAGTACAATGAGCTGAAGGTGGCTCTGGAGAAGGAGAAAGCTCGCTGCGCAGAGCTAGAGGAAGCCCTTCAGAAGACCCGCATCGAGCTCCGGTCTGCCCGGGAGGAAGGTAGGGGCACTCGCTATGCCGGGTCTGTGGGGAAAGGCAGAGGACCCACCTCAATGGTCGTACTAGTTCAGCATCTGTCTTGGTGGCCCAAAAGTTCTCAGTCCAGACGTCCTAAGTCTGAACGAGTCACAGCGTCCTTGGCATTGCCCGTTCGGCGCGATGCATGTTCTTTTGGTCTTGGGTCCTCAAAAGACAGCCCAGAGACAGTCCGCTTGGTTTTGGCCTCTTAGTGGCCCAGCTAACCAAAAGACATCGGACCGGTCTCTCTCCAGCTGCCCACCGGAAGGCCACAGACCATCCACACCCATCTACGCCAGCCACCGCGAGGCAGCAGATCGCCATGTCCGCCATCGTGCGGTCACCCGAGCACCAGCCCAGTGCCATGAGCCTGCTGGCCCCGCCATCCAGCCGCAGAAAGGAGTCGTCCACTCCAGAGGGTACGTGCTCAAGGAGCCACTTGAGTTCTGCAGAAAATCGTTTTTAATTGACTAAGATAATGCACACGTATGGCGAAAGTGACAAGTAATAATATTAAGGGTGATAATGCTGAAGAGTAAGAAGTCTGTCTTCTCCCCCATCCCAGGCCAGTTCACTGAGCTGGAGACCACCAGTGCATTCTTCCTGCAGCAGTTCATGCACGTAGGCACACGTCATGGTATTCATGTGTCTTATATAATTATATTTTTAAAGAGTATGAGAAAATAGGCATATTTTCCTCAGCCCTTTTTTCTATTGTAAATATCACAGCACACTACGCTGTACCCTGCAAAACACCTTTCTTTCACTTAAAATCCTATCTTGGATTGTTTATGAATGCCTGTGCCTGGAACTCGTCCTCTGAGAGGACTATGTGGTAGTCACTGGCGTGGGTATGTGGCTCACCTGTTAGACCAGCCCCTGCTGATGGGCGCTGGGGTTGTTTCCAGTCTGTCCTCTGCAGGAGCGCCCTGCAGTGGAATCCTGCGCCTCTACGGGTGCTGCGGCCACGGGGTTAGCTCTGGGGAAATGACTCCCTGCGTTAGAGATTATTTGCATTTTGAGTGTCGGAGGTTTGATCCATTTTATATTCTTACAAACAGTGTAAGAAGTTTTCTTTGTGGTCTTAGAAGTACTCTGTTCGCCTAGAGAGGAAAAGGACTTTAAAAAAAAAAAAAAGGCCAGGTTGTGAGGGCGATCTGGCTGCGACATCTGTCACCTGTTGATCGCCAGGGTTGATTCGGCTGATCTGGCTGGCGAGGCAGGTGTCCCCCTCCTCCCTCACCGCTCCGTGTGCGTCCCCCAACAAAGCCGCGCGCTCAGTCAAAGGTGACGGCCTTCCCGGATAGAGGAGGACTGTTCTTCGGTCAAGGGTATATGAGTAGCTGAGCTTCCCCGCTCAAACCTTCAAACAAGCTCTCAGGGTCCGTTCATAGGAGAATGTCATGTGGTCGAGCTTCTAAGACTCCAGACGCACCCAAATGAGGCGCTGCCTGTGGCAAACTGCCTCGCTTTAAAAAAAAAAAAAAGGCCAAGGAAGGCGGTTTGGAAGGTCTTAGGAGATCATAGAGCAGAGCTGCAGGGTGGCATCATGGTGTCACAGTGTAACGGGTGTTAGTGGCAAATCTCGATGGCGTTTTAGTGTGTTGGTGGGTTTTCTTCAACATTGGTTTCTCTCCAGCGATGATGCCGTCTTATTTCCTATGTTTCCATAACACTTTGAATCAAAGAGCTTTACTCTTAAATGCATCGTGATGGTGATGGTAACACAGGGGAAGAAAACCTGTCAGGCCGTGGTGTCTGTTGCCTGGGCTCCGTAGAGCAGCGGCCGGCGAGGGTTTGAGGGTCCCAGGCCCCTGCTTCCCGTGTGCTGCACACTGACGGGGCCAGAGTACGCGCATGTATTTATTCCTTATGGTTTTTTTTTTTTTAAGATTTTTTAATTTCTTTATTTAACAGAGAGATCACAAGTAGGCAGAGAGGCAGACAGAGAGGGAGGGGGAAGCAGGCTCCCTGCTGAGCAGAGAGCCCGATGCAGGGCTCAATCCCATCCTGAGCCAAAGGCAGAGGCTTTAACCCACTGAGCCACCCAGGCGCCCCTCCTTATGGTTTTCTGATCAAGGATGGAGGCCATGTTCTGTGCAGAACCCAATTTGGATTCAGAAATTTGGGTCCTGAGCTTTGCTGTTTAAAGCTGTCTTTAATTGGGTCACTGTGGAGAGGGGGGCCTATTAAGTTGGGGGGTGTGTGTGCAGGAAGCAACCTTCTTATTTTAACAGACTGGTATATAAATGTAAGAATTCGATTTTTAAGGCTTACACATTGAGTTTTTCACCAGAGGAGGCTCTTCATGAAAGAACAGAACATGAGGAGAGAATTCTTCAGTCAGTTTATGTATGTAATAACTAGAAATTCTGTAATTCAGAACTGATTTTTTTAAACTGAATTCTAAAAACTTCCAGATATGAGGTTCATCGGGAAAACAAAACTTCTGGGATTAAAGTACCTATAAACATTTTTATTTAAAAACATATATTTACTTAGGCCCACAAACATCTTTGCTATCTTAGAGCCTGTCTTCTGCCAGTAGAATGTTCTTTAAAAATACTAAACTCCTGATGACTGGATAATGGAGATTCGAAGTTGAGTCCTATAAATCTGGATGCATCTGTTAGTGTTAAAGTAGTTTCACACTCTGTAACTAATCTGCTGTAATGGCTTTTTAACAGCTTTATTGAGATAAATCCGCGTACCGTACAACTCACACATTTGAAGTGTATGATGTTTTCATCAAGTGCACAGGGTTGTACAACCACTGCATCATAATTTTGAGACATTTTTAGCCTCAACCCTTCTGTCCCCCAAAAGCACGCTGCCTGATAGCAGACACTCCCCATTCTCTCCTCTGCCTGACCTCTGGCAGCCACTAAGCCGAATAGGTTTGCTACTCTGGACATTGCACATAAGTGAGTTCCTACCGGATACTTTTTTTGTCTGGTTTCTTTCATTGAGCGTAATCCTAAGATTCAGCCATGTTAAAGCATTTATTAGTTCTTCACTTGCTCCGGTTGAGTAAATTATATTGTATGGAGAGTGCATCTTGTTTCCTAATCCACTGATAATCATTTGGGTTGTTTCCAAATTTTGGCCTTTATAAATAATGTTGCTGTGAATGTTGTATGTTGTGGCTACGTATGTTTCCATTTCACTTGGGGCTGTACCTGGGAATGGAATCGCTGGGTCTCTACCATTGCTGGGTAATCCTAAATTTAACTTTTCAAGGGCCTGCCAAACTGTCTTCCAGAGTGGCCACACCATTTGACATTCCCACCAGCGGTGTATGAAGGTTCTAATTTCTCCACATCCTCACCAACATTTGTTTCCTGCATTTTTAAAAAAGATTTTATTATTTGCTAGAGAGAGGAGACACAGTGAGAGAGGGAACACAAGCAGGGGGAGTGGGAGAGGGAGAAGCAAGCTCCCCACCGAGCAAGGAGCCCAATGTGGGACTCGATCCCAGGACCCTGGGATCATGACCTGAGCTGAAGGCAGATGCTTAACATCTGAGCCACCCAGGCATCCCCCTGCATTTTTTATTCTAGACATCAAAGGGGGTGTGAAGTGGAATCTCATTGTGCTTTTGATTTGTGTTTTTCTAATGACTCATGATGCTGACCATCTTTTCATGTGCTTCTTGGTCATTATCTTCTTTGGAGAGATGTCTAGTCACATCCTTTGCCCATTTTAAAGTTGGGTTATTTGTCTTTTTGTTATTGAGTTGTAAGAGCTTTTTATATATTGTAGCAACAAGTCCCTTGTCAGAGAGATGATTTACAAATATTCTTTCCCATTCTTTTTGTTGTGTTTTGTTTTTTAACTTTCTTGATGGGATCATTTGTAAAACCTAATAATTTTTTTTAAAACTTTCCTTCAGAATTCAGTCGGCGTCTTAAGGAGCGCATGCACCACAATATTCCTCACCGATTTAACGTAGGACTGAACATGCGAGCCACAAAGTGTGCTGTGTGTCTGGATACTGTGCACTTTGGGCGCCAGGCATCCAAATGTCTTGGTAAGAGCAGTGGCTGTGCATGCGCAGTGGGCACCTGCATGTCTCCACTCATGGGGGTGGGTTGTTTTTTTCTTTTTCCTTTCTTCTTTAAAGATCTATTTATTTATGTTAGAGAGAGAGAGGGAACAGAGTGGGGAGGGGTAGAGGAAGAAGGAGAGAGGATCTCAAGCGGACTCTGTGCTGAGTGTGGAGTTTGACGCAGGGCTCAATCTCACGATCCCGAGATCACAACCTGAGTCAAAACTAAGAGTTGGACACTCAACCCACTGTGCCACCCAGGCGCCCCTGTGTTTTTCCTTTTTAAATTTTTCATCCTGTAGTACATTCATTTTCAAGCTTTCAGTTTCAGTGGGAGGACACTATTTTTCCCCCACTAAAGGAATGAGCTTATCTGTGTTTCCAGCTCATGTCTCCACCGCCCTATGCAAAATGCCTTGTGCTTTGCTGGTTTCCAGCCCCCTGTTTTTAACAGTCCAGGTTGCTCTCTCCCCACCTTTAGGTTGTGTGCTGGCTCTAGCTGAACTGTGCCGACCGGTCCCTTACATACTTTTGTGGTGGCCTGGGGAGAAGCGGGGAACATTGTGTCAAGAACACTTGGCTCCCTCGTTTCCTTTCTGGGCCTGGCTCCTGGGAACGCTTAGGGATTACCTGGCTGTTGGGGCCTGGCTGGGACTTGGCTGGCAGAGGGACGCATGGGCCAGGATCTGCTAGGGTGTTTTCAGGCTGTTCCCTGCTTTTCTCCAGAATGTCAGGTGATGTGTCATCCCAAGTGCTCCACGTGCTTGCCCGCCACCTGTGGCCTGCCAGCCGAGTATGCCACACACTTTACCGAGGCCTTCTGCCGTGACAAAATGAACTCCCCAGGTCTTCAGTCCAAGGAGCCCAGCAGCGGCTTGCACCTGGAAGGGTGGATGAAGGTGCCCAGGTACTGTGGCAGGGAGCCTCGGGCTGGGGCAGGTGCTGGTGAGGACGCCACCCCAACATAGTCCACTTGGGAATAAGGGTTATTTGGAGACAAAGGCACTTGACAAACCGCCGGTCTCAGAAGGACAGTCTGACCTCCCCTCTCTCTTTCTGAAAGTAGGAGATACGATCCTGTGTAAAAGCAGCCCTCCCTTTTCCAGGAGGAAAGGAATATTATCACCAGAGACAGGGATTCAAGCCTTGCGGAGAGAACTCTGCAAAGAACGCTTGTTAAAGTAACTCCTTATCTCCCTTTCGCCTCCCATAACATTTTAGCTGCTTTTTCTACAAGGGTAGAAGGAAGCTTTGCCACCCCTGACACAACGGCCCTGGCCGCTCCCATTCCCAAGCTGTCCACGGGAAGCCTCTTAACTAGGACTCCGTCTTGGTCTTCCCACCGCCACCTCCTCCTCCCCGCGACTGTGCTCTGGACTCCACACCTTTGTTCTTGTGCGTCCCTGTTTTCCCAGGAATAACAAGCGAGGACAGCAAGGCTGGGACAGGAAGTACATTGTCCTGGAGGGATCCAAAGTCCTCATTTATGACAATGAAGCCAGAGAAGGTAAATTAATAATTCAGGGGGAAGTTTCGTTGCACGTGGTTGACCCAGGTCTCCCAGTCTCGGCGTGAAGGCTTTGTTTTTCGGACTGCGTTGCAAGCCTTCTACGATTTTCCATTTTTGAAAATTAAAAAGTGAATGGCTTGGCTAAAGGTTATTGGTACGATACTCACGTCTATAGGTCTCCCCTCTGAAGAACCCGCAGGGTGCTGCCCTGAAGATTCTACCTGCTAATACACCTTCAGAGAACTTCTGCCTCAGTCAACTAACCCATAAATCCGCATCGTCATCCGAAATTTGACTGTGCTACTCATCTGACACACTTTATTTTGTTTTTATCTTCCCTCTCCGCCTTCTCTGCACACCTTTCTCCTTCCTCCTTTGTTCTCGTGCGCCTCTCTTTCACGCATACTGTCTCTCTCGCCCTGTCTCTCTCTCTCTCTCTCTCTCTCTCTCTCTTTCTCTCTGTGTTTCTCTCTCTGTTTCTTTCTTCTTCTTTTCTCCCCTTGTTCTTGTTCCTGTTCTTTTGGTTTTCTTTCTGCCCTTCCTCTTTGCACCAAGCTGGACAGAGGCCGGTGGAAGAATTTGAGCTGTGCCTTCCCGACGGGGATGTATCTATTCATGGCGCCGTTGGTGCTTCTGAGCTTGCAAATACAGCCAAAGCAGGTGAGGGGAAGCAGCAGAGCCCGCCAGGGGGCGCGCTGGGCTTGTTCAAGCAGTAGGGATAGAAGGGGCCACCCTCCTCAGCTCGCTGTCTTAGTGGGGACTGGGACTTGCGTGCTTGGCGGAGGATCTCTGACACCCCAGGGCCATCCCTCCTGCTGGGATTGAGGGAAGCCACAGCCAACCCCTGCTCTGTCCGATCCCCTAGATGTCCCCTACATACTGAAGATGGAGTCTCACCCGCACACCACCTGCTGGCCCGGGAGGACGCTCTACTTGCTGGCTCCCAGCTTCCCCGACAAACAGCGCTGGGTCACCGCCTTAGAGTCTGTTGTCGCAGGTGGGAGAGTTTCTAGGGAAAAAGCAGAAGCCGATGCTGTGAGTATGAAGACGGGCGCTGGAGCTTGTCTTTGTAACACGGGCTGAAGTGGGAACTGACCTGGGTGCTGGGAGCCCTGTCGCTGCCTCCCCAAAGGGTGATGGTCCGAGACTGTCGTGACTGGGACGCTTGCGGGACCAAGACATGGGCTCTGCGCCGGCTTGTCTGGCATCACACGCCCTCCCTCTGCAGCCCTTTAGAATGGGGGAGTCAGAGCCATCAGCCAGCTCTTGGGGCGTGACGGATTGTGGTCATGGCAGCAGATATAAGGCGATCCCCTCTCTCGTTTACTCTGATGAGTTTATTTGAAGACTTGAGTTGCAAGCACTTGGCCAGGAAGCAGCACAGAGGTCTGCCGAAACCATGCCAACTCGGGGAGGGCTTTTCATAACCTTCTCCATAGCTTCCACGTGATCTGCTCTTCTGTAGGCAGGTTCGGGATCCTACTTCTCCCTAAGACGGCAGAGCTGTGGGTGTGCCTTGACTGGCATCACTCCTCCTGGAAAGTTCCAGGATACAACAGGAGCACTCCGTGCTCACTGGTGTTTTCTCCACCAAAGACCAAACACTGGGCTCCTAGTAAACACGTTCAGTATTTGCAGTGCAGACTTCTTAACCATGAGCCTCTGGGGAGGAGCTCGGCTCCCTGGGTGGACCTGTTTTGATGACTTGTTCTGCGGTTATCTGTGTGAGCTGTTTATTGAAATGCACGTTACTATGTGTACACTAGGGTTGCGACCATATTCCCTCTGAGCTTCTGCCTGCGTGGGCTCAGGTAAAGATTCAGAGGCTTGCTGCTTCGCTGCTGACGCTGTGCTTTGTCCTTGGGCTGCTGCCTGGAGGGGAAGGAGCCTTCCACGTGGCTTATTAACCCTCTGCGCGTAGCGTCGGTTTCTCTCCTACCGCAGAAGATCTCACAATGTCTACTTCACCCATTTATTTCCGTGTCCAAGCCGAGGCGTAACTCTCATGCTAATTACCAGCCGCCCCGGAGATACCAGTAACTCAGATCAGAATATGGGGCAAGCCGAGAGCAAATGTGTGTTTCTGGCGTTTTCCGGATGAACCTTACTTTCTTCCTGGCACCAAACTTTTCTCCGTTCTTGCTTTTGTCTCTCTGGATGATTTGGTCACGAACAGTTCAAACTTACTGTGTCCTTTTTTTTTTTTTTTTTTTCTTTTTTTTTTTTTTCTCTCTCTCTTTCTTTTTTTTTCTCTTTTTTTTTTTTTTTTTTTTTTTTTTTGTTTTTTTTTTTTTTTTTCTTCCCTTCCCCCTTCCTCTTTTCTTTTTTTTTTTTTTTTTTGGTTCCAATATGAAAAGAAATTGCTTGGAAACTCCCTGCTGAAACTGGAAGGTGATGACCGTCTGGACATGAACTGCACACTGCCCTTCAGCGACCAGGTAGCGCTGTCCTCTGGACCCTGGCTGTCACCCCCGCGGTCACGAGAGAAAGGGCTCTTGCTCTTCCTGCTCCGCAGGGTGGCCGTGGGGACGTGGTTATGCTCACGCCCCGCCTGTGGACTTCTGTTCCTGCAGGTGGTGTTGGTGGGCACTGAGGAAGGGCTGTACGCACTGAATGTCTTGAAAAACTCCCTCACCCACGTCCCAGGAATCGGAGCGGTCTTCCAAATTTATATCATCAAGGACCTGGAAAAGCTCCTCATGATAGCAGGTGGTTGGCCAAGGGCGTGGCACTTTCTTTTCATTGTCAAGGGAAACTATTTGAGAGCCAAGTGTCATGCCTATGAAACATAAAGGCAGGCCTTCCTGGTGGCAGATGGCAGCCAAAGTGGCTCTTTCCCCGGGTCCTTGTTGGTGCCAGAACTGATGGTGCTCTCGACTCAGATTCGTTCCTGTGGTGGCCGGTGCAGCTGTTATGCCAAGTGAAGAGTAGTTAGCCTCCAAAGTCTCATTAACGACAGACCCTTTGATGCCATCGTCATGGTGACGTCAACACCACCGAGAGCCAGGACTTCTGAGAGCTTGCCTGCTGTTAGCGTGTGTCCTCTTATTTCTCTGGAACCCCTTGGAGACCCTTGGGCTTTTCCCCACTGTTAACATTTTGCCATATTTTTACTCTCTTTCTCTACAAACACACATGCACACACACTAACTGTTGAACTGAGAGTCCCTTGCAGCTGTGACCCCGAAGTCTTTAGCATATCAGCTAAGAATGAGAGCATTCTCTTCACAACCATGGCAAAATCTCTTTCACAACCATGGCAAAATCCTTTTCTCTCTTTATTGGTGGTCCTTTTTTTTTTTTTTTTTAAAGGGAAAACAATAATTTGTTGGTTCAATGTTCAAAAACATCCATAGCCAGGTCTTGTTTCAGATGTGGCTGGATGGATCTGGGGGCTGAAAGAATGCGGTCAGGAACTGGCCTTTCCTAGTCTTTCATTCTCCCTCTCTTTGTCTCTTGTTTCTTTTCTTTCTGCTCACTTGCCTCCTTTCCCGTTCTTCTTTTCCTTCCTTCCTGTCCATCCCCACCTTCCTCCCTTCCTTCCTGACTTTATTCTTTAGAGTGGTTTAAGGCTCACAGCGAAATTGAGCAGAAAGTACAGAGAGTTCCCGGATGCCCCCTGCCCCCACTGTCACCATCCCCACCAGAGGGGCGCACTGGACATAACCGATGAACCCTCAGTGACACATCGTCACCCTGGGTCCACGGTTTCCATTAGGGTTCACTCTTGGTTGTGTTCCTTCCATGGGTTTAGACAAACATGTTGGGGCTCGGATCCACCACCGGCGTATCGCATGGGATAGTGTCACATGGCACCGTTTTTGTGTTCAAGAACTTTAACCCTTGCTGTGATGCGGCTGTCTGGTAGGCTGCCCGGAGTCCGATTTTACCTGTGGCTCCAATAATGTCCTTTCCGATATTTTCCCCCCACAAGGTGTGATCCCACCCCAGGTCTGCATTGCATTTAATAGTGTCCCGTTAGTCTCCTGTCATCTGGAATGGATTTTTGTTCTCCATGACATTGACATCCTGGAATAACGTCCAAGCCTGTTGTTTTACAAAACGTCCCCTCGATGTGCCTAACCCAGCCTCCTCTTTGCGTTGATGGGGAGTAGGTTTAAAAGTTCGGCTCATGCCCTCTGATCTTACGTCGGCAGATTTTTTTTCATCCCAGAATCTTGACCAAGAGGCCAGATGTTTTTCACTGTAGTTCTCAAACTTGGACCTGAACCATGTACACAGGATCTGTGGAAATCTGTCCATCTGCGTGGCCCCGCGTGGCTACTTGGGTGGAGAAGTAGAACTGCCTTCCCTGCCTCACACTGACCTCGAGGCTCTTCCTCCCCCTGCAGGAGAAGAACGGGCTCTGTGCCTTGTTGACGTGAAGAAAGTGAAGCAGTCCCTTGCACAGGCTCACCTTCCTGCCCAGCCCGACATCTCCCCCAACGTTTTCGAGGCCGTGAAGGGCTGCCACTTGTTTGCTGCCGGCAAGGTGAGCTCTCCTCGGGGCCTCCGCAGGCGGAGTGTTCTCGAAATCGGCTCTGCCCTCCTTCCGACAGGGCTCATTGTTTTGACCTTGAAAACTCTATGTCCTCTTACTGGGTGAAATTTCTGTTGCTTTCTTTAGGCACACCAAACAATTTGTATAGCCATGAAGTTTGCATAGGCTTTGAGTCTAAAGGAAACGTCAGAGAAAAATGAGGATAAAATTAACAAAACTGAAAGGATGACCCCAATTCAAAAAAACTGTGTATGTGTGAGTGTACACATGAGTGTGTGTGTGCGTGTGTGTGTATGATGGAGTTTTTTTTTATTTTCATTTTTTTTTTAAAGTAGACTCCACACCCAGAGTGGAGCCCAGTACGAACTTGAACTCATGACCAGACCGCTGAGACCAAGACCTGAGCTGAGATCAAGAGTCAGATGCTCAATCAACTGAGCTACCCAGGCACACCTAGTCTTTTTTTTTTTTTTTTAATCTAACATAGAATCCCACATCTGAACTTGATGAAAAAATGTTTTATTACGAAAATTTACAAATTCTGATTTATGACATTTATATAATATAAAGTCAGTTCCTGGTAAGTCAAGTTAATTCTTTGGTAGCTAATAGCATATTGATTTTGGTACATACGTACATTTGTTTGCCTGCTTCTTTAAGGAAACTTTTTTTTTTAAAGATTTTATTTATTTATTTGACCGAGAGAGAGAGATCACAAGTAGGCAGAGAGCTAGACAGAGAGAGAGAGAGAGGGGAAGCAGGCTCCCTACTGAGCAGAGAGCCCCATGCGGGACTTGATTCCAGGACCCTGAGATCATGACCTGAACTGAAGGCAGAGGCTTAACCCACTGAGCCACCGGGCACCCCAGGAAATTTTTTTCTTAAAATTAAAAGCATTTGTGGGTGCATACACATGAGCATATATAATTTTAATGAAACCTAAATCAAGCATTTGCAGACTCTCAGAGTCTGCTGGAGTTCTCCTACTGAAAGCCACTGCCTTTCCCTTTTCAGAAGACTGCTCACTGGGTATTTGGGATTTAGTCACTCTTAGCCTGCTCTTACCTAGCGCATCCCCTGTACTTGACTGAGCCTTCAGAGGCGTTTGTGCTGAGTGAAGGAGGACCAATAGGGGAGGGATGTGGTGGGCCACAGGAGCCTCCTGAGGGGGGCTTGACCTTGGCTATGGCCTTGGCCACTGTTCTTGAGGACTTTTGGTTTCTGAAACCTTCTGGCTGTGTGTGGGGCTGATGGCATTCTTTATTAGTCACTTACACAATGGTTGGGATTAACTGTGGCAACAATAAAAAGAGGACAGACTATAAAGGAAGAGGATGGCTGGCCTAGAAAGGCGTGGATTTGCAAAGGGTTCTCGGAGGAGCTGAATCTTGAGGGACTGAGAAAAGGACAATGCTGGATGGACCCAGGATTTCCAGATAGGGGCCCGGGAAGGAAAGATGTACTTTTTCAGTTTTAACAATTCTTTTTAAAGAGAACATTTCTTTTTTTGTTTTTGTCTCTCCTTTTTTCTGCTTTTTGTTCTTTGTGCATTTTTTATCCCTAATATTAATTTTTCTGGATCTCTTATTTGTCTTAATTTCATCAGCTTTATAGTGATTTTACTAATTTTTATAAAGCAGCAGCTTCGGCCTGTACTGATTCTTGCTTTGCTATCATTATCTTATCATTAACTTTTGCTTTTTCCTTAATCTTTGTTTTTCCTTCCTTGAGTTTTCTCTGGCTTTCTTCCATTGTTCTTGTTCTAATCTCTGGTTTAGCTAATTAATTTTCAGGTCTTTTTTCCTAAGGTAAGCACTTTAAGGCCATACATTTTCCCTCTTACTACAATCTTACTGTAAATTTTCATCGTTACACATATTTTAAAATTTCTTGTGATTTTTTTCTGTGAATGATGAGTTACCTAGAAATGGGCATTTTACAGTGTTGGAACTACTAAAAAATAGGTACATTATAAAATTATAACATCTAATAATATAAACATCCACAAACTTACTACCCACACCAAGAGTTAGAATATTACTACTACTTCCCATTTTCTTTTGTATTCCTTTCCTCTCCCATCCCATTTCATTCCACCTTGACCTTGAAAACTGGATGTCCTCTCACTGGGTGAAATTTCTGTTGCTTCCTTTAGGCACACAAAACCCCCCACCCACAACTGCTGACCTTCATGTTGGCACTGACTGGAGAAGCTTCTTTTTGCCCTTGGTGAAATGACAAAGATGTGGTATTGGGAGGTGAAGTAAGAGTGATTTAGCCATTCTAGAAAAAGAGAACTCTATGTACACAGATCTTAGCTAAGAACTTTTCTCTTTGAACCATAATCCTTAAAATTCTTGAGGTAATTTCTACTGCCTTCCTCCTCCCTCAGGGTAAGATTGTCGGAAGGCTCTGTCTCTAGCAGAAGGCGCAGGCACACCAAATGTGTGTGGTGTCAGGTGATTTCCGGAGGCCTCTGCCAGGTCTTTGTTAAATCCGTGGTTCTTACCAGTGGCAATTCTGATCCCTAGGGGATATTGGGCAGAGTCTGGAGACATCTGTGGTTGTCACAACTGGTGGTTGTACCACTGGCATCCAGAGGGGAGAGCCTAGGGTTGCTGCTAAACATCCTACAATGCACAGAGCAGCCTTTGGCCACAGAGAATTACCTGGTCTCGTGTCAGTAGTACTAAGGGGGAGGGGCTCTGCTCTAAACTGGCATTAGGTTCCTAGTTCTGCTGTGGAGCCAGCAGACACACCAGTAACCCTTTTTTTTTTCTGTTTCCCTGATTGCTTTCCAGATTGAGAACGGGCTCTGTATCTGTGCAGCCATGCCCAGCAAAGTTGTCATTCTCCGCTACAACGAAAACCTCAGCAAGTACTGCATTCGCAAAGTAAGTCCTGGGCCTTGCCCAGCCTGCTGGGCCCCGGCCTGGGCTGGAAAGTGTGCTGTCTCCGGGAACAGTGTGTGCCTGGTCCCGTCAGCCTGGGTGACCTCCAGAGAGAGAGACAGACAAGCAGACACACCCCTCCTTCCTGGAGGAAGCTCCAGAGCCCTGAGGAGCTGCAGTTTTCTCCTCTCATTTTCTTTCTCCTGTCTGTGAGCTGCCTCTCCAGCCAGCCCAGTGGATTCGGCCCTTTGTTAAGAGAGAAAGGAAGCAGGCTGGTGGAAGAGACACTTTTAAATTAGCACGAAAAAGGAAGGCGATCTCTCCGAGAAGCTAGCAGTCCCTGGCGACACTTGTTCAGAATCTTTGTCAGATCCTAGACATTTCTATTAATAACTTTTGGAAAAGCCAGTGCTTGCTGTGTTCCTAGATGTAATTAGAGAGCTGATTCTCCTTGGAGCAGAGCAGTGGTGGTGGGGACTACAGTGTGGACAAGTTGCACATTAGATCATTTGCCTCGTTTCCAGAGGCCAGCCGTTGTCCCTAGACTAAGAAAGCGCCACCTGTTGTAAGCGTAATTTACTTCCGGTGCCTTCGCGATTAGTCTCAAGTGAAATGAGGGATGAATATATAAGGGTCATTATGTGTTAGGGCAACAGTTTCATCCTGGGTGGGCGGTTCGTTTGTTTTATTTTACTGAGCACCTACTGGTAGCAGAGACCGAGCTGGCTGTTTTCCAAATACTTCACAACAGTTCTAAAATGCAGGGGTGGTAATTGCCAATTTTCAGGCAAGACCATCGAGGCCGGCTGAGGTCCTGTTGGGAAGTTGAGACCACAACTGAGGTTTGATTTTTCCCTTTCACTGTATCATGCTGCCTAAAAGTTTCCTCATATCTACCAGGTCCTCAGTAAACAGCAGTGATGGTAGTGTGGGTTAGGTTTTGAACTGTTAGCTTTAGGAAAAGTCTCAGAAATCATTGCTTCTTTATAATTCTTGGCCACCTTTTGAATAAGCATGCCTAGGTTTTTGAAAATACTAGGATGGGCCTGAAAACAAGTGGAATTAGAAAGCTGATTACTAATAGAGATGACAACAATGGTGACGAGAATAATTATACAGGTAATGTAGGTTCATGGTAAAATGTAGCTCACAAAAAGAAGGAAGCTAAAACGACTCCCTCTAACCAGCCCTGTGTTTTCCAGTCTTTTTCCTCAGATAAGAATTTATATTCTTAAAGATCTGTCTTTGAATGCAAACTTCTCATTGAAATGGTATCTCTGACTCTTTTTTTGGCTGCCATTTGATATTTTCTTAATCTGGGGTTGCAGCGAACCCAGAGGTAGCAAAGGGATTATTAGTCTTCATGGGGGACATGAAAGGATTGAAGTGTTTGTGCTTTGTGTGGCCGAGAACGTGAACAAGTCCAGAGGCGACTGTCTCTAAGGCTGGGGAAGCGGAAGAGCAGTGGACATGGGGCTGCCGTGTGTTAACTCACATCCTCCTCTTCTACCCTCTGTCTTAGGAGATAGAGACCTCAGAGCCCTGCAGCTGCATCCACTTCACCAATTACAGTATCCTCATTGGAACCAATAAATTCTATGAAATTGACATGAAGCAGTACACGCTTGAGGGTAGGGCCCAAGTCGTCCCCCTAACCCCCCCCCCCCCCACCACCAGCCCACACTCTGCTCTGGCCTTGCCACCAACTTCTCCCTGATGCCCCACTTCTCACCTGCCTTTACAGAATTCCTGGATAAGAATGACCATTCCTTGGCGCCTGCTGTGTTTGCCTCCTCTTCCAACAGTTTCCCTGTCTCGATCATGCAGGTGAACGGCGCAGGGCAGCGGGAGGAGTACCTGCTCTGCTTCCACGGTGAGTCCGTGCTCCCTGACGGCCGCTGCCCTGAGGGCTTGCGGGTGCCAGGAGTTCCCGACCCCCACCAGGGCTCTCACCTAGCCCGGCTCCATGGTATTCTTTCCTGAGAACAGCTGCTTTTTTCCTTCTCTGCCCCTTGCTTTCTCTCCCTTTCCTTTCTCTCTTTTCCTTTCCTTCTTTCTTGTGGGGTTGTTTTTTTTTTTTTTTTTTTTTTTTGAAGTTTTTCTTCATTCTTTTTTATTCCTCCTTCCTCCTCCCAACCCCCCGTCCCCACAGGCAATCTCTGGGTCCTCCTGTCTCTTCTTCCCTGTGTCTTGGTCTCTGTTTCTTCCCTTTCCCTTCTTTCATGTCTCCTGTCTCTTCTTCCTTCCTTTGCTCCTTCTTTCCTATCTCTTTCACTTTTCTTTAACACATCTCTGAGAGATGTGGCTCAGCAAAGGTCCTCAGGTTTTAATGATCCAGTTAAATCTGGCTGGTGGTCCCCTGGGCTCAATCCCTTATTCTTCTGGCAAAGTGTATGGTGTCATTGATACTGCTGCCTCTGACTGGACTGATGCCCCTGTGATGCAACTCCTTGCAGAATTTGGGGTGTTCGTGGATTCTTACGGAAGACGTAGCCGCACAGACGATCTCAAGTGGAGTCGCTTACCTCTGGCCTTCGGTAAGTGAAGCAAGGTATGGAGGGCTCTATTCTGCCAGCAGCTGGCATCCTAGGAAAGAACCGCAGGTAGAATCCTTTTTGGCTCACGCACTATGCCTGTGGTTTATGTTAGACACCAAGTGCCATAGGTTGTAGTCCCAGGGTTCAGGGCAAAGCTGCTGACGCTTGATGAAAAACTGCATAAGCCAAATCCACCAGCCTTGTGAAAGATTTGTCAGATTTCTTCCTGAGAAAGGAGAGCGTTCCCTGCGAATTTATTTAAATCATTTCAAAGGCTGCAGAGTATCCCGTGGGATAGCTGAACATGTGTCAATTTCACCAGTTATCATCAGGCAGAGCACGTAGGTCATGCTCGTTCTTTCCCTAAGTGTAAACAATGCTGTGATGAACATCTTGCACTGATCTTTGCACACTTGTCAAGTAGAATCTGCTGCTCGTAAGCCCTGAAAGTGGAGCTGCTGGGTCACGCAAAAACATCCATGTACATAAACACACACATATGTACAAATATGTCCACACATATTGGTGTAAATGCTCTGAAACACTGTTATGGTAAAAATACCCATCAAGGCTATTTGGTTTCTCTCTTGCTGTCTAACAAGTTCCAGAACTTGTTATAGCCAAGACTACAACTTATTATTGCCCAAGATGCTGAGGCTTGACTGGACCATTCTGCTTCACGTGGTACCAGTGGGGGCACTGGGATAACTAGAAAGTCCAAAATGGTCTCCCAAAATGGTGGCCAATTGGTATGAACTCAGCTGGGGCTGGGGCCTGGGGCCTGGAGGCCTCGGTTCCTCTCCACATGGGCATCTTCCAGGAGTGCAAGAGCGGAAGCTGGCAGGCCTTGTTGCTTCCACCGTAACCTACTGGTTAAAGCAGCCACGGGGTCAGCCTAGATTCAAAGCAAGGAGGCTCCGCCAGGCCTGAGTACCAGGAGGCATGACTCATAGTACAAAACCAAAGTCCTGGTTTACCACAAGGGATAATAGTGATAATCTCCTTTTCCATTTAAGACAGAAAAGCCTCCTATCAGATGCTAGAGCTTCACTGATACTGTGATATAAATATGTAGTATTAAGATGAGAGATATTTAATTATCTTTGAACTCAGTCTTTAATTCTGCACATTTTCAAAAAAAAATTAAACAGTTTAAAAAGGTATACAGTGTAAAGTCTCACCCAGATAACCTGTCTCCCCAGTTCTCCATCCCTACTCACCCAAGTAGGGGGAAAACTTTTATTTTTTATCCCTCCAGTGCTTTGTGCAAATACAGATGCATAAGAAAATATATTCTTATCCCCCCCCAACTTTTTTTTTTAAATCCATGTGGTGCCACACTTTACACATTATTTATTCTGAATTTTGCTTCACACACTAAGTAAAACACACCTCAGGGTTTTTTAGTGTATCAGTACAGAGAGAGCTTCATGCAGTTTTTACAGCTGTGCAGAATCCCACAGATGTACCATAATTTATTTAACTGACCCCCAAAACGTACCCTGGATTTGGTTCCCATCTTCTGCTCTGACAACATGGCAGTGAGTAAACTTGGACATGCCTCGTTATGTTGGCACACGGGTGTATGCATAGGCTAAATTATTTTAGGTGCAATTGCTGGGTCAAAGGTGGCATTGCAGCCTGGTTTTGATTTCCTCTTTTAACCCTTCCTTGTTCCACGCTCTTCTTCTGGGGTAACCATGCAGCCTACAGAGAACCCTATCTGTTTGTGACCCACTTCAACTCACTCGAAGTCATTGAGATCCAGGCACGCTCCTCTCTGGGGTAAGCATTGCCCTTTCAGGCTTTGGAAAGCTCAGCTGTTGGGGTTGGGGGTCGGGGCCAAGTGTCTGTTTCTTCCCATCCCACCTGGCAACAGAGGTAACCTAAATATAACCTCTTATTTGGAACTCCTTAGGACTCCTGCCCGAGCATATTTGGAAATCCCAAACCCACGCTACTTGGGCCCTGCAATTTCCTCAGGAGCGATTTACCTGGCCTCGTCATACCAGGATAAATTAAGGGTCATTTGCTGCAAAGGAAACCTCGTGAAGGAGTCCGGCACTGACCACCACCGGGGCCCGTCCACCTCCCGCAGGTACCATCCTTCTCCTCTTCTTCATTACAGGAGGCAGAGTGCTGTTCTCTAAGGTAGAAGGAAATTGTGCTAAGCTGGTCAAAGGTCTTCAAGCTCAAGCCACTCCTTTCTTTGAGCTATAGCAGGACAGTGACTCAGTCCTTCTCGAGGATCAGGAGAATTTTTAAATGCCCTCTTGGAGAAGGTGGGCGGAAATGTCTGGTCTTTCTCTGTTGGGTATTTTCGGTGGCACTAGAATGGATCACTAGAATGTGTGTGTGTGTGTGTGTTGGGCAACCTTTAATGCTCAAAGTCAGCCAGAGTTGAGAGACCGAGGCCTTCTCAGATTTTTCCTGGGCATTTGCAGGGCCTTGCCTGTGTGTGTGTGGCTTTCTAGATTCCTACGAATATATGGGACCATTTCAAAACGCCTTATCAACATCTTATTCCCAGATCGCCTTTCGAGTGTTTTAGCCAGCCTCTTCCCCAAATGATATCACACTGTCTTCAGTATTTGCCAGGTTAAATACTTGCTGCTGATTGTTTCTGATGAACATCTGGGGATAGAGCTTTTCTTACGAGGAAACCCTGCGTCAGGTCAGACGGGGACTGTTTGCTGGGGCCGCGGCTTTGTGGGGGAGCATCAGTCCTGATCTCCCTCCTGTGGCTACTGTGGTTACGGGGCTGATGGTTTCAAAACTGCCGTAGCTCTGGAGAGAAAATGTTGAGGTCACGTTAACATGTCACAAAGCTTGTTGTCCTTACGGAGGTTCAGCTATTTTTTACATAAATGCTCTTGCTGTTTGAGTCGTTGCAAGTCTTTGGTTAATTTCCAGAGTTCTGGAAAAGGTGATTTAGACACTCGTTGCCAGTGTTCTGGTTGCTTTTATGGAGGAATGGGTTTTCGGCAGTCCTTACTGTACCATTCTGGAAGCGTTCTCCCCCTTTTGAATACAGCTGATAGCACCCTGCGCACATTCTTCTGGACCTTAATGTATCTTGGAGGTTGTTCCAGGTTAGTATCAGAAAGATTTCTTCGTTGTTTTTTTTTTTTTTTTCTTTTTAATGACTACGTAGCATTTATGCCTTCATGTGACCTTTATTTAACTGCTCCTTTATCAGTGCATGTTTAGGTGGTTCACAGACGGTTGCTGTAATAAATTAAATGACTTTGTGCTTATGTCATTTGGCATGCTTATGAATCTATCTGTACAATAAATTCCTGGAGAAAAAAATTGATGGGCGACATCAGATGTCCATTTGTAATTTTGATTGATGTTGCTGAGTGTTCCCTGAAGTATATTCATTTGTAATCCTACCAGCAGTGCGTGGGAAGTGGGACTGACCTTGTCTTGACACAGAGGTCTATGAGCCAGATCCAGGTTGATGGACAGGTTTGAGATGTGTAACTCTAAGTTCTTGGTGTACAGAGAAGTTCTGAGATGATTTAACCCAGGGGAACATTTAATTGACCTAGGATTTAAATTTTCTGGACTGCTATGTCTGTCTACCCTGTAAAGAGTTATGTGGATCCCTCATGTGCTAGACACAGTATCTGGGGCTGGGGATCCAGTGATGATTTTATTCTTAAGGGACTCTCAACATGATGGAGGAACTAGCTCTAATATTTAGAAGGTAGCTTAGGTCTTGGAAAAGAACGTCATAAATCTAATATTTTGAGACTATGATCCTAATGAATAGTTTTTCTTCTGTTGAAATACAAGAGTTAGGGGCACCTGGGTGGCTCAGTGGGTTAAAGCCTCTGCCTTCAGCTCAGGTCATGATCTCAGGGTTCTGGGATCGAGTCCCGAATCAGGCTCTCTGCTCAGTGGGGAGCCTTCTTCCTCCTCTCTCTCTGCCTGCCTTTCTGCCTACTTGTGATTTCTGTCTGCCAAATAAATAAATAAAATCTTAAAAAAAAAAAACCAAAAAGGAGAAATACAAAAGTTAGTCTAAATATGTGGTCAGTGTAATTTTAATCCCAGGCACTTCCTAGAAAGCCAGAAATAGAAATAACCAGCAGTTCTTAGCTCTTGGCTTGACCCTGCCTCAGAAGTAAATGCTCAAAGGACTATAGTTCTCTCCTGCAAATGTCCAGATTTTCTTTAAGTAATTTCCAAGTCATGTCAAGAACAAATCAAAGTACTGTAATTAGATTTTTTTTTTCCTCTACTGACTTACTAAAACGATGGCAGGCACCTTTCTTTTGAGACTATATAGTTTCTCTGTAAGAAGTTGCTTATTCTGTGGTTGAAAGGGGTTCTCCAGTGCCTGTGAACGAGAGGCAGAGACAGTCCTGTTGCTTTCCTGCTGTGGCCAGGCACATCCGGAAAATAAGCAGTTAGTCCTTGCTTATCTCGTGGCCTATAAAATGGTCTTCTTATGCAGATTGCTTTGGCAGGTCAGGATGCAGAAGGCCGGCCTGGCTGAGTGTGAGTCACTGCAAGGCCTCACTGACCTGGTCTGTTTAGCAGGGCAGGAAATGTAACTCTTTGCAAAAACAAAATAAAACAAACAAAATCCCCATAAAACTGGCATGGGAGATCATTGGTCATTAATGGATACAGAGATGGAAGATTGCCCACTTGGCCTAGGATGATGGGTATTTTCTTTCATTCCATTAATCTAAGCTGACATTCCAAATGGTCCTCCTAGAGACATCCTTCTTCCCCTGGGCATTGAGTACCTTCTCACTTGCTTTATGATGGGCCCCTGTGGACACACATTATAATTTCCCTTCCATTACAAATAGGCTTAATGTAATTCTCCTACTTGAAATTTATTTATTTTTGTCTTCCACATCTTAAAGCCACATGACTAGAGAGGAATATAAGCCTTATTTCAAGATGTTGAAATCTCAGTTACCTTAAATTTTTCCACTGGACATGTAGCATGCAAGGGGGTGGGGGGGCGGTTCTGGCTTTCTGGATATGTTGTCTGGAATCTTCATAGTTAGAATTGCACAGGGAAACCAGAGAGTCACATGAAAATCTTCACAATGAACTGATCACTTATCAAATTATCTCTGCTCACCTTTCTGTTTCACTATTGTGCAGGAATAGGCAAACTTTTTCTGTAAAGATACATATAGTACGGGGCGCCTGGATGGCTCAGTGGGTTAAAGCCTCTGCCTTTGGCTCAGGTCATGATCCCAGGGTCCTGGGATCCAGCTCTCTGCTCTCAGAAGGGAGCCTGCTTCCCCATCCCTCTCTCTCTACCTGCCTCTCTGCCTACTTGTGATCTCTGTCAAATAAATAAATAATAAAAAAAATCTTAAAAAAAAAAAAAGGTACAGGTAGTAAATATTTTTGGCTTTGTGGGCCATATGGTCTCTCTTAATTATTCAGGTATTATTCTGTGAAAGCTATAGACAGTGCATAACCAGATGGGCATAGCTGTGTTCCAGTAAAACTTTATTTATAAAAACGGGTCATCTGTCTGGATTTGGCCCTCAAGCTTGCTCTATAGAGTCTCTCCTCCCCCAGTAGGTGTCATTGCTTTTCTTGTTTCTAATTATGGGCATTGACAAAAGTGATTCTGGCAGTTAGATCAATAACTGAAGGAAACAACAACAAGAAGTTTGGCCCCTTTCAAAGAGAAGGATTTAAATATCAAGGATTAAGATAGGCCTCTGGGAAATCAATAACACTCTCAAACAGTTTTGAAGAAATGACTTTGACTCTACTGCAGAAGTCCAACATTGATGGAAAGTATGTCATTGAGCCTATTAGCATACTGTTTTGTTGCAAAAATTAGAGCAAGATAAATCAGTATGTGATTCATGCTTGGCTCATTCTTAGAATCAGCATGAAATTCCAATTGTAATTTAGATTTTAAAAATAACAAGGATAAATTTACTTTCCTGATTTCTACTTTATTTTCTGCGATAAAGCCCCCAATCAAAATATGTTTTCCAAGTAATATTCTCTATAAAATGTACCCATTTTAGGTAGCCCTTTTCCTAGCCCTGATTGTGCTGAGCTGATGAGGATTGAGTACTTTTTCTCCTCATTAGAGTGGGAAGGAATTGACTCAGTTCTGTTCTAGATCTTGCTTCTGTTCTGGATCTTGCTTCTTCAGAGAGAATGGTTAGGGCTGTATTTGCTGAAATCTTCGTTTGAAATACCCAGGCTGGAGCTGGGTGGAGGTTGGATGGGCCATACAGAAAGGCGCAGTGTTTTCAGTTGTTTGGTTATTACTATCAACCTTTGGGGCCAGGGACATGTTTTGCGCCAACTGTACTATTTTTATTTGTCCTGCTCAGTTTTCTAATTCTGTCAGGTCTGATCCCTACACCTTTCACATCAGCACTGGGTGCCAAGGAGGCTTGGAAAGCCACCTGGAAAGAGAGGTGACCGAGCAGCAGGCCGAGGAGGGGACAGATAGGGCAGCTGACAGTGATGAACGCAGGCTTTCTCAAAATTGCTCCCTTGTATCAAGGGTCTCTTAGCAGCCTCAACCCCTAAGAGAAGACTTCCTTTTGTGCCTTCTAGGCTCTACGAAATACTAGGTCGGTAGGATTACAGGGTGGGGATTAGGATGTCAAACTGACCCGAGTCAGCTTCTTAGCGCAGGCCAACCCCCAGTCTGTCTCCACGTTCTCATCTGAACGGTGGGGGTCATGCTTGTTCCTAGTTTGTGGAGCTGTTACCAGATGATTTAATGAGTCAGAACACATTAAGAGTTTAGCACACAGTAGGTACTCAGTAAAAACCTGCACTGAGACCAGGAAGTTGGTTTTCTTTTGTCATCATCTTTCTCTCCCTGTCCTCACCACCAGAAGAAAACAAAATGCCCCAAGAACTCCAGGTGGGATCTTTTCTACTAAAGATTGGGGCACGGGGGTTGCTCAGAGGAGGAAGATGCTTCTTTGGGGTTATGACTTCTCAGCTCCACACCTCCCTTCCCTGTTGCCCGCAGCCCCAACAAGCGAGGCCCACCAACGTACAACGAGCACATCACCAAGCGTGTGGCCTCTAGCCCGGCACCCCCCCCCGGAAGGCCCCAGCCACCCGCGAGAGCCAAGCACACCCCACCGCTACCGAGAGGGGCGGACAGAGCTGCGCAGGGACAAGTCTCCGGGCCGCCCCCTGGAGCGGGAGAAGTCGCCAGGCCGGATGCTCAGCACGCGGAGGGAACGTTCCCCTGGGAGGCTGTTTGAAGACAGCAGCCGGGGCCGGCTGCCTGTGGGAGCTGTGAGGACCCCACTGTCCCAGGTCAATAAGGTGAGGCACCATCCTGAGGCCAGGGGAGTGACCTGGGGAGCTGAGGGCCCTTCAGGACCACTGTTGGGAAAAAAGGGGGCGGGGGGGAGGGACACTCATAATTCAGATTTTTCAGGACATACAGCAAGTTCAGGAAGTAAACCTATTTCAGAAGAGGACTTTCTAAGCAAATGGATGATGTGTACATGTCTACCTCAAGATGGAACAGCTACCTAAGGGTAGATCATTCCCTTCCCCGGAGGCAACCAGTGTTAGCAGTTTCTAGAGATATTCTATGCATATAAGCAAGTATGTATATATATCTTCCCTTCTTAAACAGAAATGATAGTGTACCACACAAAGTTTATGCCTTATTTTTTTCAGGCACATATACAGATACACACGTACATCAAGAATTAGTTTGGAGGGCTATACAGAAATTGGGAACAGTGGCTGCCTTCTAGAACTTTGAGCCTTTTGAAATCTTTAAACCATATGCATCTATTCTCTATGTAACTTTGTAAGTTAGTCAATGAAGAGATGGCGGGAGGTGTTGAAGCCAAGGAGGGGGTTCCCCATGAGCAGGGGGTGGGTCTGAGTGCTTGGTGCCTCCTTGGCAGGCTAGCCAGTTCCAGGGCCCCCCTCTGGACAGCACAGTCACCTTTCTGTCCCTGGGGGGCACAGAGGGGTGGTTTTCTAGATCACATTCTCCTCATGCCACCTGCAGGTCACAGTTGGGACCCCTGCCAATCAAGCGGAGGACTAGCCCGTCAATGTTTCTTCTTAGCCCCTCTGACTTACCGATAAAACGGGTCCAGCGTATGTGTGTTTAACAGAGATCCATCCAAAGCTTTGGAGAATTTTCTGTGATTTTCATTCCCTGATGAACCCCAAGCTCCGCAGCATGGCCCTGCTCGCTGGTGCCAGCCTGGGCAGCTCTCGGTGTTACCGGCCGCAGGGAGACCAAGCACGGCACGTGTCCTGCCGGAATCATGCAGGGCAAGCCCAGGGACTCTTGGCCCCCTAAGCTAAAACTCCTCCTCCTTTTGCTCCTAGGTCTGGGACCAGTCTTCAGTGTAAATCTCAGCCAGGAAAACCAACTCCTCATCTCAACCTGCAGGAAAACACCACTCTAAGGAACTCTGCTGAAGGGGCCCCCGGCACCCATCTGCTCAGCCACCCCAAGGCACAGCTGGGCCCAGACCCGCCTCCGTGCGGACAGCCCGCATCCAGGGGGTGCAGGGGCCGAGCTCTTCCGAGCTGCCAGCGCCTTCCTGCAGTCATCCTCTGTGCACTTTGTTACTCTTTCAGAGCATTCATCAACTTTTATACCTAGCTCTAGCCTGTACCGGTTCATCAGAGGAAACCAACCTGCGCTAACTACAACGTGGTTAGAATCCTATTTAATAGCTACTTTAAGATCCTAGGGTTGGTTGGATTTCCTTTTTTCCTTTTTTTTAAAAAAAAAAAAAAAAAAAAGACAACAGAATTCTTAATAGATTTGAATAGCAATGTATTTCCTGTTGTAGTCATTTTTAGCTAGATCACACCATCAGGTCTTTGCTCCGGAAACGTATTGTGGAAGAGTCCCCGCCAGTTGGCTAACCTCCTGCACTCATGTAGGTTCATTCTTGTCCCAGTCCATCCGCACAGATGGCCCTGTTTGACCCAGGGTGACATCTTAGCCAAATGTTTACTGTTCTCATTGCCTTTTATGGCCTTGACGACTTCCCCTCCCACCAGCTGAGAATGTACGGAGGTCATCGGGCCTCAGCTCGGAGGCAGTGACTTGGGGCCAAGGGACCTCGAGGAGCTCTCCCTCCCTGCCCCTCAGCGTCATCTCCCCAGACTGCTGTCCCTGCTTTCCACATAGCTCTGGCCAGGAAAGCATGCAATAGACTTGCTCGGAGCCCAGCATTAATGAGTCTCTGGGTCCGGGAGGGGACCGGGGGTGCCCACCTCCTGTCCACGACAGTGCGTTGTTCCCCACCCTGGGATGGGAAGAGACCCGTCCGGGAGTTCTGCATGGCGGTTCACTGCATGTGCTGCCCCCCGACCTGGCTGCCCCCCTTGGGTTGCTCTGCCGATGTACTAGTACATACCATAGCTCCCGCCGAATCGAGACCCTCCGACCACTTGCCAACTCACTGGCCACAACAAGCTGCAGTCTGTAGCACTGAACAAACAAAAAAACCAAACGCTCAAGCCTTACGACCAGAGAAGGATTTCAGCAAACCACCACCTCACACCCTCACGCTTCCCTGACTCCCTTGTGGACGACTCTGTGTTCACACAACATCCAGCACGGTTCTACCCCACAAAACTGTGACTTCCCAAGTGAGCCTTTCCCTAGGGCTAGCTGAGGACCAGGAAGTTCCAGAGCACCGCGGCCCCTCCTCTGCCTCTGCCGGGGTCGGGAGGTCCTCCCTTAGGTGCCGCGCAGCTCACACGGTTTCTCGCCGCCCGCTACCAGAAGGCAAAATTCCCGGCAACTGGTCAAGAAGCAACCCAGAGGCTCTGCAGTTGGCAAGCTAACGAGCGGCCTTACTTCTGCCTTTAATCTCCCACAAGGCACCTCTTGCTTCCGATTCTGCGTGACTCTTAGGCATGCCTCGAACAACCAAGGCACATCCTAGGGAGGCTGAAAGGTAGACCTGTTTCTACCACCGCAGGTGAACGTAACCACATTGCAACCCCACGTTGTCCACAGTTCAGATCACTTTCCAGATTGCGACCTGGCCCAAATCCCAGCTCCTTCCTGCTTGTCTCTTAACCTAAGTGCTTTCTTGTTTGGAACGCCTGTGTCCCTCCCTCCACGTTGTTACACCCTTGGCAGGTGTCACGCTGTTGTTTTATGTATTGCTTGGCGTCTTTGGGGTCATGCTGCATCCCCTCCCCTCCCCAGGGCAGATCAGACTGAATGTTTGCTGAAGTTTTTGTCTCTTGGTCCACAAGTATTTGGAAAGGTCACTGAAAACTGGTCTTTCAGTCTTGGCATTTCATTTAGGATCTCCATGAGAAATGGGCTTCTTGAGCCTGGAAAGTGTATATTGTGTGTCTCATCTGTGAAATGCTTCCTGCTATAGAACTAGCTCAAAAGACTGTACATATTTACAAGAAACTTTATATTCGTAAAAAAAAAAAAAGGAAATTGAATTGGTTTCTACTTTTTTATTGTAAAAGGTGCATTTTTCAACACTTACCTTTGGTTTCAACGGTGGTAGTTGTGGACAGCCATCTTCACTGGAGGGTGGGGAGCTCCGTGGGACCACCAAGATGCCAGCAGGAAATACCGGACCACGAAATCGCAGTCAAAAGCTTATTAGCATAAGTAAGATTCTAGGTCTCCAAAAGTACAGGCTTTTTCTTCATTACCTTTTTTATTCAGGATGAGGAAAAGAACACAAAGGAACAATTCAAGATCCACCTGGAGAGGAATGAACTTTGTTGTTAAACAATAGTGAAATAAAGCAATGATCTAAAATGTTTGCTTTTGTGCAACGACCTCTTCTTAAGAGACCATAAAAATCCCAAGTCTTGGGCCTGTGTCACCACAAGGTTGTTATCATGGCATGGGACCTTGCTTCCTTTTCTCGTGGGGTCAGAGGTGCTTTTTTTCTGGGGTCAGGGAAGGACACAGCTCCAGACACACTTGCTTTCCTGGCATCAAGCGGACTGGCAGCATTCTCTTCCAAGAGTGAGACCTTGTTGAATTTAGTCATTATTTCCCAGTGAACCGTGAACTTGGCAGGTAGGTCACTTTATAGGACTGCGGAACTAGAGAGCTCCTAATGCAAACAGGCCATTCTGAAAGGCTTGAGATTGGATTACCTATAATCCAGTTCTATAATATTAGCAGCTAACCAAGAAAACAGGTCACCTTAAAATCTCTCTCATCTCTTATAAGGCCCTGGGGATTTTAATGATGTAGAATTCCTTGGAGGAGTTCAGATCAAGGTAATTTAAAATGTAAATACTTCTATTTTTAACTAGATGGATTTTTAGATTCTGTGAGGTAGATTTTTTCCGTGATTTTTTAGTTTGTTAGTATAAACTCTGCTTGATCTGGACAAACATTAGTTTTGGCAAATGGTGATTTCTTTCATGGTTCCTGTTGCTTTTACTCTCTTGATTTTTATTTTTTGATGAAGTAATCTGACCACAGTCGCAGGGTCGTATCTGACATGGCTTGTTACAGGAACCATAGTTGCAATTCTGTTCTGCTTTACTCTTGGAGATAAAAATCTGCCAAAGGACATAACTATAAGAAGGGAAATAATTCAGGGGTACCTAGGTGGCTTAGTCATTAAGCCTCTGCCTTCGGCCCAGGTCATGGTCCCAGGGTCCTGGGATCGAGCTCTGCATTGGGCTCCCTGCTCAGGGGAAGCCTGCTTCCCCCTCTTCCACAACCCCTGCTTATGTTCCCTCTCTTGTATCTCTCTCTCTCTCTCTCTCTCTCAATGTGTTAAATAAAATATTAAATATTAATATTTTATACTAATATTAAATATTAAATTAAATATTAAATTAATACTCAATAAATAAAATATTTTAAAAAGATAAAGTAAAAGGAAATAATTCAGAAGATGAAACAAGTAAAAATGTTGGAACCTTTCTTTCCTTAAAATACTGGGGAAAGTCTATTAAATATCAACCAACCTTTTCAGTTAATGAGAATTCTTGACAGCCAATGGAATACTTCAAAAGCATAAACAGTTTGGTTCCAAAAGGAATGTTCCTGAAAGCTTCTCTGGACCCTAAGGAATGACCCCAAAGAAACAACAGACAATTACTCAGCCCACCATAAAATGAGGCCCAACCTTCTATACTGCAACGACTCCTTTTTTCCCCCAAGATTTTGTTTAGAGAGAATGCACAAGGGAGGGGCAGGGGGAGAGGGAGTAGCAGGCACCCCACTGAGCAGGGAGCCCGACACGGAGCTCTATCCCAGGATCTTGAGATCATGACCTGAGCTGAAGGCAGACGCTTACAACTGAGCCATCCAGGCGCCCCACCTCTCCCGTTTCTTAAACAGAACCAGACATGTGTTCTGTGCTTAGAACTTAATTTTCATGAGACTAAAGATGCTGACTGCATAGTAAATTTCAGACCATGAAACTTTAGGATTTGGAGACTTAGGCCAAAAAGATAATTTGCTTGATAGGACTGAAGTTTTTCTTCAGAACTGGGCCTCTTGAATCTGATTTACTCTAGCAACTGTCTGTGCAGTTTTTTTGTTTGTTTGTTTGTTTGTTTATTTTTTATTTTTTTAAGATTTTATTTATTTATTTGACAGACAGAGACCACAAGTAGGCAGGGAGGCAGGAAGAGAGAGAGAGGAGGAAGCAGGCTCCCTGTCGAGCAGAGAGCCCCATGCGGGGCTCAGATCCCAGGACTCTGGGATCATGACCCGAGCTGAAGGCAGAGGCCTTAACCCACTGAGCCACCCAGGCGCCCCTTGTCCGTGCAGTTTTAAATCTAAAGCATTAAGACTAGGCCTACAGGAGTGGGAACAGCTAAGCTTCGGCTCCTAGTAACCGCTGAGTCGGCCTATTCTGGTGGTGCTAAATCACTGCACTTTGCTCCCCTCCCCTCAGGACATCTGACGTGTCCGCAGACATTTCTCATTGTCAAGACTGGCATCTGGCCGGTCCGATGGTGTACGGGGCAGCCCCCACCCCCACTCGGCTCCTATCGAGTCCAAGTGTCAAGAGTGCCAAGGTTGAGAAACCTCAGCCTGTCCTGGTCAGACTTCTCTCTGGGCAGTTTACACAGTGCTTATGATGTCTACAGCACAGAGACTGTGGCACCAGGCACACAATGTTTACATGAGTGTTTTATCACTTGCCTAATCAAATATTGCTTTATTTTCCAAAGCTGGGGAGGGTGATGTCGTGGAAATACAGTACAGTGTTGATCACTTGGCTTTCCCTTGAGTCTGTCAATGATTAATGGAACTCCGTTTACCCAGAAGGGCTTGTTGGAGGTAGAGGAAAGAATTTTGAAAATGACTTTACTATTATATGCAGCTCAGTCTGTCTTTCCGAGAACCATAAAAAAGAAAAAGAAAGTTGACTCACGGTACAATTTCCCAGATGAGATGGATGAATTCACTCCAGGGGCAGTAGAAAAGGTTGCGATGAGGGCTGGCATCCTCATCCCTGCAAAGGCCCATACTGAGGACAAAGAGGACAAAAAAGACTATGAGTGGGAGCTGACCAGAAACAGAGCAGGCCCCACAGACTGGGAGCTCTGGCTGCTCCAGCTTTCGGACCTTCTCTGAGGGTCTGACTCAACCGCACTGCTGGCTCTCAGGAAGGCCCTGCAGATGTTATTACAACAGGAAGGATGACTCAGGCTTTAGAAGAGATGCACATGTGCTCGTAACTTCCTTATTTTCTCC